TGGCAGCAGAGGCAGGCAGATACCTGCTCAATGCCATCAGTGGAAGGGGACATTAAAGTTGAAACTGTAGAGCTGGAGGTGTAGCTCAGTACTAGATCACTTCCCTAGCATGTGTGCAGTTCTGGGTTCAATCCTGAGATGGAAAGAGGGGGTGGGGTGGGGGAAGAGACACCGACAGTCAGATATGTGGACAGACAGACAGACACAAAGAGACAGAAATAAAAATACAAAGATGCCTTGAGGTAGGAAAGACCAGTTTGCTTGAGAAACTGAGAGCAACGTATGGAGCTGAGGAGAAATGACATAGGAGGAAGTTGGAGGAGTATACAGGAAGGTTTTGAGGGAAAGTATATGAGTTTAGTCTAAAGTACCATCTGAAACAAAAGTATATTAGTCTCCTCACACTGCCATACAAAATACCATGGACCAGGTGGTTAAATAATAGAAGTTTGTTTTCCCATGGTTCTGGAGACTGGAAATTCTAGAACAAGATGCCAGCAGGGCTGGTTTCTGGTGAGGCCAGTTTCTTGGCCTACCTTAGGTAGCACATAGCTCCCTTAGTGCTGTGTTCTCATGTGGCCTTTTTTTCTACATGCGGGTGGGGGGAGAAAGAGATTTTTGGAGTCTCTTCTTCTTAGAAGGGCATTAGCCTCATTGGATTAGGGCCCTGCTTCGCTGGCCTTATTTAACCTTAAATGCCTCCTAAAAACAGTCATACTGCAGGGTTAGGATTTGAACATGTGGACCATGGGAAGCAGGCCACAGGTCAATCTATATCACATAAGAGAGTCGATGTGTTTAATCTGTCACACATATGAAGCAGGAGAACAGCACGGCTCTGGTGACTGTGGAAGCTGATTATGGCGGAGACTTCTTGCAGCATTTTTGGGAGAGAAATGATTGTCACTTGAGGTTAAATTGTTGGCCAGGATGATAAGGAGGAAAGGATGGATTGGAGGCATTCCTGGGGCAGACATGACTGGCCTTGCTGCATCTTCTACCTGTAGCCCTCAGTAACTTGGATGCCCCTTTGTGGCTCAGTTTTGAGGTGTGGTACTTTGTGCCTTGAAGGTGCTTAGTGGATGCTGAGTAAATGCATACCAGGCTGCAGCGTGCTGGAGCAGTCTCCTTACTGTCTAGAACCTGCTTTATGGATCTAGACAGACTCCTTATGTAATTTAGAGCTTCGAAGAAATTATTCTTCTTAGTTTTCCTTTGGTAGTCTAAAACAACACAGCTAAGTTATTGGCATGTATGTCTGTATTATACACACACATGTGCACACAACAGAACACACACACACACACACACACACACACACACACACACTCACACACACACACTGCTTACTACTTTGGCCTGCACAGACTTGCCTGGGTGTAGGGTGGTTGGCTATTCTAGGTCTTGCTTACTTTGGATCACATTCATGTGGGTTGTCGAGTCCTTTCTTTCATATTTCTCCATCCTTTCCTCAAGCCTTAAAGAACTGTGTATTGTCCTAATTTGGGAACTCTGCATCTGAACACTTGGCAGCGTGGTAGCAATGATGAAACTGGTTCTTTACCACATGTTAATATAGATACACTGTATGCCACTGAACTTCACCTTTAAAGATGGTTGTCATATAGGCTTTTACCTGCCTAGAACCTCTCCTAAAGAGTTTACAAGAATTGATTTTACTTCGTGTGATGGTATGAACAGCTACTTTGAAGAAAATGACACATTATGGTAGCCATTGCTGATTTCCTATCATCTTTTTGTGAAGTCCAGTAATGCTTTGATTCTTTTGTTTTGATTGATTTTATATCATTTTGTCCTGTTTGAATTCATTGTGTGTGAAGATGTGGATAACTATTTAGGGGAAAACAGGAGACACTGTGTGGTAGCCACTCTTGATTTCCTGTTGTCTTGTTTTGAAATCCTGTGTTGTTTGCATTGCTTTGTTCTGATCTATTTGTTCTGTTTTGCTTTGATATATTCTCTTTAAAATTTAAAAAAAGGTGGTTGTCATGGCTTGGGTATGTGTCTCAGAATTTATGTGTTCTAAATTTAACCTGAAGTCACATGCTAATGGTATTTGGAAGGTGGATAGTTTGAAAGTAATTAGAATTAAATGAGGTCCCAAGGGCCCTAGAAATCCATTAGTGGCTTTCTAAAAAGAGAGACCCAAGCTGCCATGGTTGCTCAGTCTCGCCATGCCCTCTGCATACTGTGATGTAGGAGAAAGGACCCTTACCAGCTGTCGGAGCAGCTGATACAGTGTTCTTAAACCTCCCAATCTCTAGCACTATGAGCTAAATAAACCTCTATGCTTCATTAATCTACTAATCTCAGGTACTCTGACATACACAGCAACGGAAAATAGTCTAAGCAATGGTTAAAAGGTAATATATTATTCCCTTTTTTTTCTACATTGAGCTTTCAGACTTTCAATGTTTTATACTCTGCCATAATAGAGATCTTAGACTGCCACTCACCAATTTTCACCTTAAGCTTGGTATCTGTGAAATGGGATAATAATGCAAATGTTTTGCCTTTAAGAGTTTGGAAACTTTTAAGTGAATATATTACATATAGATATTAGCTAAAGCATAACTGCCTCTACAGTATATTACCAAACAAAATAAGGCTAATTTGCATTAAATCTCAGGAAATAGTAATTTATAAATCTACAGAAAATCTGAAAAGAGGGAAAGTGTTTTACTGTATAGCTAAAATAAAATTAAAGTCAACTAAAAGTAGATGCATCTATTGGCCATTTGCATTTGCACCAAAAAAAAAAGGGGGAAGATGAATAGAATTATGCTCAGAGAACAAAAGCTTTTATGTCTCTGTTTAACCTACATACATTCATTAGGTATACCCATATTAAGGGAATAATCTAATATTTTTCTTGATGAGGGACAGATACATTTTAGAAGTAATTTTAGAGATGGAAAAACTTGACACAGACCACTACTTATATTTCCTAAGGCAAATAATACTTTTTGAATTATGAGAATAATAACTAACAACAATAATCACTAATGTTTATCAAAGACTCACTGTAGCTGTCAAGTGACCTGAGCATTTTGTGTGGATCATTTTAAAAGTATGCTCATCTGATGAAATTTTGTGTGAATAACTGGGACTATTCTCTACATGTTTATCTATAATTCACTTTCAGGTTAATACATTTGGACTTTTGCATCATCACTAAATACTTTATCATGCGTAATCTAAATTAGTGTATACTATCCTCTATAGGAGGACACACAGTTTCCTTATACAATTCACAAGTATTAGACACAGATTGCTTCTGGCTTTTACTGTTTTAACTAATCTCCTTATAAATACTTTAAAAATAATCTCCTTATAAATACTTTAAAATTTCCTAAATGTTCACTTGTGGATGCACAAATTATTTTGATGTCCAAGATGCTAAATTTAGTGTAAAAGCTACAATTGGCTAAAACAGTTTTACTCAGGGCAGTTACACTCAATTAAAATGTGTAATAAGCTATAACATTAAAATAGAGCGTAGTAATATAATTATTATAATTTAGATATATTAAGTTAAAACATTTCAAATTTTAAAACATATTATAGAAGATCTCTCCTTGGAATGCAGTTTTTGCTGCAATTTTTTTAAACAAGATAAAAATGACAGAATTTTTTTTTAAAACAAAACAACACTAGTGAACATATTTCATAGTGTTATTGTGAAAGTAGTTTTTCAGATTACAAGATTTAGGCATAAAAATGATCAAACAATCAGACAATGAAAACACAAACTGATCTTTCTGATGAGCTAACAGAGATTAGTGGTATAATTATCTGTTTGCATATTTACATGCACACACATATATATGTACACATTTGTGTGGATATAGTCTTTTCTCTTCTTTTTTCCTTTCCCATTCCAGGTATCCTTTCCTTTTGATTTCTGCAAATTTTTAATAATTATAGTGAAGTCATTGACATGCTGCAGTTTGGGTTTTCTTCTCTGTAGAGAACAACTGATAACTTCAGCAGGATGATGTGGGACGTATCAAGGGGCCACCATCCATGGTGATTTCACTGTGCAGTGAGGTGTGCCATTATCACTGTAGATGTGAGCTGCTGTTGGTAACAATACTGAATACATGGTAGTGTGGTGCTTATGTAAATAATGCCAGGCTATATGTCTCCACTCAAGTAATCTGCGGTATTTGTGTAAATATTTTCTTAATATAAATAGAACAAAGGACGTCCTTGTTACCTGTGTAAGGTCACTTTGTGCAGCAGTAGACACACAAATTCTGGGTAAGGAGACTAGGCAGTGGTAGTTAAGGAGTTGGGAAAAGGAGCATGTTCTCTAAAAGTCATCAGAAACGCTTGAGGCTTTATGGTTGTGTTTAAAATGTGTCATAGAATTGAGGGTATTAGTGTTAGCAGAATCCAGAACTTCTGAGGGAGTTCTCATCCATAGTAAGAAACTCAACACCCTGAATACTACATTGCTAGTAAATGTGGGTGCCCATTTTGTAAAACTTACCAAACAGTACCTACTCTTACTATCTGGACCATATTTCGTTATTTTTTTTCTATTTAATTTTAATATCGGTTATGACCCACTACATTTATTTCACTGGGTAGAAACCCACAATTTGCCTTAACTTTGTGTAATGTCTTTAAAAGGTAGGGAGTGTGGCTTGGGGTGTGGCTCAGTGGTACAGCAAGTGCTTAGCATGTGTGAGGCCCAGCTAGACATGCACATAGACACACACACACACACACACACACACACACACACATATATATATATTTATATATATATAATTACATAAGAATTTAATCAATAGTGAATATTTGAGTTTTTTTGCATATTAAGTTGAATTTTTGGGTCATCATTTAGAAATATTTACATGTTAGTGCGGTAGTGCTCTGTTAAAGGGTGTTGCAATAAGATGCGGGTGAGATTCAACCAAAAGCTGGGCAAGCATCAGCATTCTCTCTGATTTCCCTTTCTTTTCAACCAGGTAGTTCCATTTGCCAGCAGAATGAATACAGAAAGGGACTCAGAAACAACATTTGAGGAAGATTCTCAGCCAAACGATGAAGTGGTTCCCTACAGTGATGATGAAACCGAGGATGAACTTGAAGACCAAGAGCCTGCTGTTGAGCCAGAACAGAATCGCGTCAACAGAGAAGTGGAAGAAAACCGGGATACAATCAAAAAAGGTAACCGTCGGTGGGCCTGCTCCCTGGGAACTGTGCTCTTAGATAGCGTGTGCATTGTGCTGACATGTGCCCAGGGTGACTGCTCCATTTCATGTGGTCTAAGAGGGTATCTTCTTCCTCTGACTGACTCCCATACTCAAGGTCCTCAGCATCACAGGACTGGGAGACCATAGCTGACAAGTTCTGTAGAGAAAATAGAACATCTTAGGTACTACGTATATTTTTAAAATTGAGTTGTATAGGAAAAGATTATCTTGTTATTATACATAGCAATTTATAAAAGTATACACATCAATCTTTGGATGTAAATCATTTGTATTACTAAATTGTTGGCACAAATTACATAAATAATTACATGTGTGTATAAAACTAATTGGTGCCGTTATTAGGAAATTATACCTGTGTGTTTATATATGCATGTGCACATGCCCACATATGGAATTATAATTATATATATATATAATTATAATTATAAATGGCCAATGGTAATTCCTTGGTGGTGCTCAAATAAGGTGAACAACTGGTTAATAAATCAACCAGTAGATGCCACTTTTTGGAATTTGTCTTTTGTTTGTCCACCAGTCCTTGGAGTGCCACTCAGTGAAGCAGATTCTTAAAAGCATCTCAGTAGTGTGGGCCTTTTGGGGAGTGATGTTGGGCTGTTCCCCAGAGTTTTAGAGGACTGGGACCAGGACATAGCTTTGTACTTCTTGGCACCTTTGGCTTCTTCCCTTTCTAGCTCTTTGGCAGTTTAGTGGACTTGGAGTTTCCATACCTTCTGTTCAGTCATTTGTGAATCTGAAATGGCCTTGGCTCACAGGCAGGAATTTTTTAATGGGTCTCCACTTGCCACTAGCAGCCTGTCCTGTAGAGCCTGTGCTTCTTAACCACATCCTACAAGCTTCAGAGTCAGGGTCTAGATCAGGGGGCTTTTCATCTGTAGGGTAAGACAGAAAACATCTTAGACTCCATGGGCCATATGGTCCCAGGTGTAATGATTCAGCTCTGCCCATATCATGTGAAAGTGGCCACAGTCAATAGGTCACCTACAGCAGTGGAGCGTGTCTTACTTTGATTCACCACTGTTTTTCCCTTGTGGCTTTTCTGCTTCCTGCTGGCTCTCTGCCCTGGCAAATGTGTCTTTCTCTGTGACTCTACTGAAGAAGCTGAGCTTTTTCTGCGGTTTACACCCCAGATTTCAGGCTGAAATTCTTTCCTGCATAGTTCCTTGATTCAGTGGAGAGCTTCTGTTTGCCTTTCACAGAAATCTCCATGCAGCACTGCCTGCAGCTTCATCACGGTCACCTCTGGTTTCATATGCCTTCCTCAAAGTCTCTGTGTCCACTGTTTGACCTAGGCAAATTTTCTACAAGCCCCTGTTTTTCTCCAGCCCCTCTCAACTCCCTGGATTCCCCTCTGGACTTGCTGCCTGGTTAAAACTGGGCTTCTTTTGGAGCAGTTTTAATCTGAACAAAAACAGGCAGGCCATGAAACCTCACTTCTATAAGGACTTTTCTTCTTGTTCTTGTGATGAGGGTGCTCTGCTGCTCCTGTGTGGGGACAGTCTCAGGGTAAGGGAGCCTAGACATCCCAGAGGGACTCCTAATGCAGGCTACAAAACCTGGGTGGCCCTTGACTCATGTGGATTGTGTGTCCCCTGCATTCCATATCAAATAGATAGACAAATTAGTCCTGAGTGTAGATTTCAGGGTATAATTTTAATCTGTTAAGTATTGACAGTATGAGCTTCCAGCAGCAAAGCAGAAGATACTAAAATGATGACCAGTGAGTGAAATTAAAATACAGTCACCATCAGGAACAGGAGGTGGCCTCTGCCCAGTGTGGGCCTCTGGTGACATTGGCAGACTGCATTTAAAAATGAGTAGCCTGGCAAGTTAGCAAGAGAATTCTAGCTGATTGCCCAGAGGGTGGAAAAAGCATGCTTCTTCCTCATTCCTTCTCCCATGGCACTTGTGATTCTGCTATCACAATCTCAGAATCTTGCAGTACATAGATAGCTGGTGAGTTGGCAGAGAATTGGCTCCATGGAGGGGAGGGGTGAACTTTGCAGTTGGTGCCTCACAATCACAGGTCAAGACCTGTGGTTCAGGAAGCTCGAAGAGCCTGGGGTTGGGTGCCTGCAGCACCGTCAGAGAAGCACGCTGTGGGTAGAAACCTTCACCTCTGTTTTTTTCCAACTCACCTTGTGCATTCTGGTAGTCACTCAGTTCACAGATCGTCTTTGTGGTAGATTCCTATTTTATAATACAGGCACTGAGAGTAGTGGGCTTAATATCAGTTCTTCATAGCCTTTACCCAGGGAGGTTTGTAGTCCTCGGGGATATTAATGGTTCTCATTTTTTAAAACTCCTGTCAAGTAACTTGGCCTGTGACTCATAATAAAAATTGTCCTAACCCTTCTGTCTGCCCTTCCTAGCACACAGGGAACATTCAGTAAATGCCAGATCTCTTTGCTCCCATTTCACACATGTGCATGAGCAAGGAGGGAAAGAGAGGTACTCTCTCTCTCTCAGGCATTATCCCAGTTAAGGTTGGTGTCACTCGGGCCTTTCCTTTTTTAACTATGTGTCTTTCTTGACACTGAGCATCACCAATAATTTCTTTCGAAGTATTTGGGACACCATTAGTCACCCTGTGCAGTATCATCCCCTGAGTAAAACCAGGACCTGGGCCCATTCCAGTGTGAGCAAACTCCTTTTTTTTAGTGACATCATTGTTGGATTCTTGCATAGAAAGCTGGTTTTCTTTTTTTAAAGAAAGAACATGTGGTAGCCAGCTGAGCTTTCATGTTAAACAAGCATTTTGAGAGACCCATTGAAATGGCTCTTCTATTGAAGGATCTTTATTGTGTATTGTGAGAATCCAGCAAAGGTACAAATTTGCAGTTAGAATGTGTGTGAAGATAAGCCCACAGCCTTCACTAAAATAACTTTACTCTTGGTTACCTTGAGCAAGGATTTATTCAAACCAGCAGAAATGTTTTCCATGCTTGTGGATAATAAGCATGTTGTCTAATAAGCATATAAGAATGCTAATTCTTTCCTATTGTCATGCTGTGAAATCCAGTAATGCTTTTATTCTTTATTTAGAGTGGTTTTAGTCTGTTTTGTATTATTTAATTTCAATATACATGAAGGTATGGACAGCTATTTTGGAAGAGAACAACAGAAATTACGGTAGACATTATAAATTTTCCTATTGTCTAGTTTTGAAGGCCTATAATGCTTTCATTATTGTGTTTTGATCAGTTTTATACTATTTTGTTTTGAATGAATTCATTGTGTAAAGATATAGACAACCATTTAGAAGAAAACAAGAGATATTATGGTAGCCACTGTTGATCTCTTCTTGTCTTGCTTTGAAATCCTGTGTCAGTTACATTATTTTCTTCTGATCTGCCTTGTTCTGTTTTGTTTTACCCTCTTTAAGATAAAAAACTTTTTAAAATTTAAGAGAAATAAAAAAAGAATGCTAATTCTGCCAAATCATCCAGGACACAGATTAGGCCCTCAAATCAGAAGCCTGGAATTCTCTGGAAAGCTTTTATTAGAATAAAAGGATCTAAGAAGTTTTAGCTTTAAGAAAATGGACCTTAATCAGCCAGAGAGTCTCAAAATTCTTTAACTGTGAGATAAATCGTTTTTGGCTTACTATTCCATGAACCCTGTCCCCAGACCAGCTCCTGGGTAATTCTGCACCAACAGGAACTACTCAGAGATAAAGTCCTAGGGAAGAAGTAAGCTTCCTGGGTTGGTGCAGACTAACTCACCCTTCTGAGCATAGGGGGATGGATGAGGACAGTCTCCAGGAGTCTCACTGCAAAGGTGTGTTATCTGCTAACTCTGTCATCTTCCCATTCCTGCGGGTTTACGCATACATGTCCCATGGAACCTTGTCACTGGAATATCCTGTCTCCTGTTCTTACAGCCAGGCTTCTGGGACCCTGTTCTCCACCATCCTCCAACTCCAATGGCTTCTTACCCACTGTGGGCTGCCGGGTCAGCTCACAGATAATGCTTTTCTGAAGGTCACTATGAAGCCTGGGAGTATAGTTCAGTGCTAGAGCGCTTGTCTAGCATGCATGAGGCCCTGACTTTGATCCTCAGTATGAGGGGGAAAATATTAATATAGATATCTCTATCTATCTAGGTATCTATCTATATAGATATCCCCAAGACCTCAGGTGCCAAATCTGTTGAGCTTCTTTCTTCCACTGGTTTTTTTTTTTTTTTTTTTTTTTGTGGTACCGGGGATCGAACTCACGGCCTCACACTTGACAGGCAGGCGCTTATGCCGCTGAGCTAAATCCCTGACCCACTGTGTCTTCTGAAGTGTCCAAGCTTTCTAACAGAGCCTCCCTCTGGAACCATCATCTTCTTCATTCTATCTCTCCTTGCTGGCTGCTCCCCACCACCACCCTTGTGCATTCCTGTTTCAAATCATACTCTCTTCCTGCCTACAGACTCTACCGTGACCAGCTCACCTTTCCCAACATGCTCTGCCAAGGACAGGGCCTGTGTGCCTATGCAAGGCTCAGAGCCTGATGCCTAAGTGGCAGGACTAGGCGTGAGACCTGCCATCACCACTTTCTAGCTGTGTAACCCTAAGGAAGGAATTCCTTTCTGTTTCTCAATATTCCCACTGTAAATAGGCTTAATATTAGGAATTTCCTTGTAAGGAAGTTGTAAGGATTCAGTTAGAAAAGTGAAGTACTTACCTGCTCTGGGTTTATACCAAGCCCTGTTTCACTCCCCTTGAGCCTCTTATCACAGTGTAACTTAAAGGTTGAGGGACTATTGTAGATTGTCCATCATCATCATCTCTTGAGACTGTGAGACTAAGGTTGAACCTGTCTTATTCTGGGATAGTTTTTGAACTTCAGGCTGTGTGTGGTGTGTTTCAGACTCAAGATATCCATGAACACATTGAGTGTCTCACCCCGGGTCTGAGTAGGGAACAAACAGGTCTAAGGGAAGCAG